TGGAAGCTCATCAGCTCCTTTTTTTTTTCTCCAAACATGTAATTTTAAGAATGGTCAAAACTAACATAATACAATGTTTTCATGTGCAAGTAAAAACTCACTCTCTCCTCCCCAAAGGGAACAACCCAAACTTACAACCAACATCCAGCTCAGAGTTAGGAGCTCTGGGTGAGGTGTATCTTCTTCATCTGAAAGAAACTACCCATTATACTGCAGCTTATGGACTAAAACTGAATTTAACTATTCCCCAATACATCCAGTGTTCGATGCTGGGAGAGAAATGGCTATAAAGCCCATCTAGAAAAGTGGGGAAGGGTAGCAGCACACAGTGATCACTGGTTCAGCGCACATACCTCATTTATGTGGATAGGGACATAAGGTGCAACCACTTTTTTGACTCGTGTTCCTAGCAATAGTATTAGCTCTTTGGATCAGCTAATAAGGGCGCCCTTCTCTCCCTCCTTTAGGATTTTTCTTTACCCTTTGTCTTCCTTGATTGAGCCTGAGGGGGGCTATGGGAAGATTGCCCTGTGAGGACTATTCTACTTTAGTAGCCAGCTTCTGTGAGCATGGTTACTAGACTGTGAAGATGGGGGGCTTTCAATTTTTTGGGGGAAAAGAAAAACCTTTAAAAACCTAGTCTGTTCCAATATCAGTTTGAACCTCCCAAGTACTCCATGTTATAAACTCTAGAGTCAACTCCTCCTTGAAACTTCATTTTGTAGTTTCTGTCTCTTGGTAGCCTGAGGGATGTCCTCATTTCCACAATAAACCTCACACAATTCTATAATATTTGTTATCCCCATTTTAAAATGCATTGGGGCACCTGGGTAGTGCAGTCAGTTAAGCAGCAGACTCTTGGTTTTGGCTCAGGTTGTGGTCTCAGGGTCATGAGATGGAGCCCCTCGGTGGGCTCTGTGCTCAGTACAGAGTCTGCCTGAGACTCTCTCTTCCTCTCCTTCTGCCCCTGCTGCTCATGCACTCTAAATAAAAAATCTTTAAAAAAAAATGTGTACACTGGGGAAGAGAGATTTTAAACCACTTACCTAAAGGTATGTGGGTACTAAGGGGAAAAGCTGAGATGGAAAGCCAGATCTGCATAGCACCCAAGACCCTTCTCTGTCCACTCTACTGTGAGTCTCTACTTGATGGGGGGGGGGGTCTTATGTCTGAATGTTGTGGCCAAGAGAGGAGGTAGATGAGGGCTGAAGGAACTATTTTCAGGAGGCTCTGAGGGTTACAGACATGTATTGACTGCTCTGGTAAGTGAGAGTTTATTGCTTTGGAGGCTTTAGAGAACGAATCCTCAGCATCCACACTGATGTTATGTAGTTGTCAGAGTGACCACCAATATCTGTGGCAGTGGGGAAATGCTGAATCCAAGTGATGTCTTAAGAGACAGATGTGGTTGAGGCAGGTTAGGACTGCATGAATGTGAAGGAATTCCCCCCCCCCCCCCGCCCCAGTCACACAAGAACACCCTAAGAATGGTCAGGAACAATTGAGAAAGACTATGACCAGTTAGTGATCCATACTGTGTAGGAAAAGGCAGGTTATTCTAGTTATTTTAACCATGTTTGTACCTGGGCTACTGAGAGAGGGGAACTTGGGGCTATGTACACTCCATTCCCAGTTATGGGCTAATCAGCTCCCAGGCAGAGCCTCTGGCATAAGCCAATTAACTCCTCTGTGATGACTTCCCACCTCCTGTCACACTACATGGTCTGGGGTAGTCCAAAGAAAAACTTCCCTGGGGCACCTGGGTGGCTCAGTCGATTAAGCATCTGCCTTTGTCTCAGGTCATAATCCTAGTCATGGGATAGAGCCCCTGCATCTGGCTCCCTGCTCAGCTGGGGGCGGGGGGTGGGGGCCGGGGAGGTCTGCTTCTTCCTCTGCCCCTCACCTCGCTCTTGCTTTCTCTCTCTCTCACTCAAATAATGAAATAAAATCTTAAAACAAAACAAAACAACTTCCCTGCATCCTATTGCTGCTGAGACAGCAATGAGGACCCTGGATGTTTAATGGATTTGGAAGCACAAACATAAAGACTTTGGAATGGATAATGCAGTGAACACTTGCTCACTACCTTCCTAGCATCCCTTCTCCCCTCTCCCATTTTTAAGAACACTTGAGATCTCTTTTAGGGAAACCTGTCCTTCTTAGTTGTGTGGTCTGGGAGAGATCCACCCCACTGTCAGCTCTAGGTGATTTATTTAAACTCACTAGAGTATCCCATCCTTGACCATGATAAGATCAGAGATGGGCCAGTGACTCACTGCAGCCAAGAGAAAGGAAAAAGGGACCTGGGAGCTTCTGGGAAGGAAACGTCCTCATTCTTCCAGGGACCTAAGAGAAGAGATGCTCTCCCTTCCTCTGGATAGTAAAGGTGTAATGCCTGGAAAGGCTGCAGCCATTTTTAAAAACATAAACAGTTTTTGAATGGGAAATCTATGCATTTGGTTCAGCATTTCCCAAGTACAAAATGGTGTACAGTGAAAAGCAAGTCAGCCTTCTCCCCTGTCCTTGTCCATCAGCCACTCAGTTCTACTTTCCAGAGGCATTCACAGTTACCTGCTACTGGTGTATCCTTCCAGAGCTTTTCCATGCATATGCACACACAAATGTGTCTTTTATCTTCCACCTCCCACACCTTCCCAAATGTTCCTGCACTTTGCTCTCTATTCTGTACCTCCCTTGTTTTTACCTAAGGGGGGTATCTCGGAGATTTTTCCACATCTGTACACAGAGGGCTACCTTTAACAGCCGCAGGGAATTCTGTTATATGGATGTCCCATTATTAATTTAAGTATCCATTTGGTAGTTGGCATTTCATTTATTTTTTTATTTTTTATTTTTTTGGCATTTCATTTATTTGCAAATAAAGCTGTGATATAAATTTCTTTCAAATGCATATCATTTTACACTGGCTACATTCACTCTTGCTCCTCTGTACCCAGAGTCAGCTGAAGAACAAAGCTGAAGCATCCAGAAGAGCAGAACCAAGGAAATCACAGGGAATTAAGCTGGAGCCTTGGTGACACTTTGACACTCTGGACTGAACTGTGATTGAAGTCAGATGTGCCTTGGCCTGCCCAGTTATAAAGAAAATAAATGATCTCTCTTGCTTAAGCTAGTTTGGGTTGGGTTTTTTATTACTTGCAACAGAAACAGTGCTGATGGTGCACATGTTGAAATTCTCACAACTGAAATGTGAAGTGAGAAATGTGTGATAATTACATGTAAATTTTGATAATAATTATCTTAAAATATAAACATCATAAAAGAGAAACTGGGAAGGGGGTACACCAAAATGTTAACTGTGGTTGTAGGTTGTTTGTAGCAAATCAGTGTTTTTCATTACCGATGAGGTTTTGAGGTTTTTGAGGTTTTAAGGTTTTCTACAATAATAGGGGTGATTTTCATAATCATTTGTTGCAAAGCAGGTTCCCAAAACACAGCCTGAGGAAAGAATTTGGAGATCATGATCTGCAGAGGGAGTACACTGTAGGAGGAAGCTATAAGGAAGCGGAATCATGAGGGGGACAGGAGGTCTCACAAGGATGTGGTCCTAGGTTAAGTCTAGCCTTCACTTGATTTGGAGGTGGGCCATGAAGTGCAAATCGAGCCAAGAGACATCCCAAGACAAGAGGCTTGGCCTGGCTGAGATAGTCATTGGCTGTCCCCGCTCCCCGGTTGGTGGGGGTATAAACTGCCAGGTGGTTTCCAGGTGAGCTGACCCCCTGTTAGCCAACGACTATTTTCCTGAGAAGGTGGATCTGGAAGAGAAGCCTTATCTACCAGTAGGGCTGTAAAGGGTATCTGCGGGAGACACCAGCAGTGTCCACAATAATCACTTACAAAGTTATTTTTAAAAAATAAAAGAAGAAAGCAAAATGCAAGACTGGTCTTAACAGAGGCCTTCTCTATCTACCCTTGATTTCTGCCATCTACACTTGCTGCTCAGCCACCACTGACACAGTTAACCAATGTGAAGTCTTGACTCTAGAACTGAGAGAAAATAGGATTGGCTTCCTGAATTGAAGATTACACTGTTTCTAAACATAGGATTCTTTATTTAAAATAACTATAGGAGCAGCCCCGGTGGCTCAGTGGTTTAGTGCCGCCTTTGGCCCAGGGTGTGATCCTGGAGACCTGGGATCGAGTCCCACGTCAGGCTCCCTGCATGGAGCCTGCTTCTCCCTCTGCCTGTGTCTCTGCCTCTCTCTCTCTCTCTCTCTCTGTTTCTCATGAATAAAAAAACAAAAAACAAAACAAACAAAACAAAAAAAAACTATGGAAGGGATGGATGACTCAGTGGTTGAGCGCCTCCCTTTGGCCCAGGGCGTGACTCTGGAGTCCCAGGATCAAGTTCCACATTGGACTCCCTGCATGGAGCCTGCCTCTCCCTCTGCCTGTGTGTCTCTGCCTCTCTCTTTGTGTCTCTCATGAATAAATAAAATCTTAAAAAAATAACTATGGAAGAAAACAGTGTTTTCCTTCTATTACTTTTAAAATCTGGGGCCCTTAGCAAAATGAAAGTAGGAGCTTTTTAAATATATCCTTCCACTTGCATTATTGCTAGGTCTGAGGTTTTCACTTCTGCAGGAGAAGCCCTCTGGTGGCCCATGGGCTGCCTGCCTTGCCCTGTCTTCTAAGGGGCTGCCTTGTTACTTTGAATTGGGCAACTGGGAGCCAGAGAAAGAAGGTGCCTGGGAATTCCAGGTCCTCTGTCCCTCCCCCCACCATCTCTGCCCACTTGTTCAGGGAATCCTCCTCACCTGCCACAGAATATTCCCATACATAGATAGCCTTGGGGGATCGCCACCAAAGAGACTGGGACTTGTAGAGTTCTGTTGCTCTGGTAACCAGTTGTCCAGAGCCTCTGCATTGGATCTGCCGGGGTTCCGGGAAGAGACAAGCCTGGCTGGGCCAGGCTTAGAGGAAGGCTTTGGGGCAGGAGCAGGGAACAGCCTAGTCTTGGCTGTACTTTTATCTCAGTGATGCCCACCCTTTCTGTGTTCTTGGATGTGCCCTTGGCCCAGAAGCTAGAAGGCAGCTTGTTAAAGACCTACAAGCAAGACGATTGTCCTAACAAGATTTTCCTGGCCTATAGAGGTAGATACCTTGTGGTTTTGGTGTGTAAGACTTAGTACTCATATCATGATCACCCCCAGAGGACAGTATTGCACTGCCAAAGAGGACTTGGGAGATATAGCCCACACCTCTGCAAGCAGAGAACTCTGTTCTTGTTAACAGAATTGCCCAGTGGGGAAAAGTGCAAAAGATTCCCAGGTCATTCTGTGCCTTTTGTCCTTCGCTGGGGTCTTCCAGGGATTTGGTGTGTGCTATGGCTTCTTCTCTTCAGCTTGATGCTTGGGAGCCTGCATGGGCACTACACTTCTTCAGGCTCTTCCTTCTCCCCTCCTCTGAACTAAGGGTGGTTCCCCCAAATGACTCTTCTGAAATACAGCCAACCTTCCCCAATGTGAAAGTCAGGGTTGCCTTTGCTTATCCTCGTGTGTCTATAACTCCCATGTGGTATGTCATGTTTGCCCTTTAAAGCGGCATAAGTTTAAAAAAATGGCCTAGGCTTCAGCTATCTTTAAAAAGACAAAAATTAGACATATTCACTAACAGTACTTTGTTTTTATAAAGGGGAAGTGAAAAAAAAAGAAAGACGTCTTTTCCTAGGCAACTTTTCAAAGCCCCAAGAAAGCCAGGACCAATGCATTGTTTGTGGGCTGTCTACAGAGCCCTGACTTGGAGGCCCTGAGGCCGGGCATCCAGAGCTCCCTTTATGGTTTCCCTCACAGTCTGCATGACCAGTGAAGGCCAACCCTGGGTTTCTTCCGTGGTGCCCAAGATCCGGCTTCAGATATCACAGGACCCGTCTCTGAACTACGAGTATATGCCAATGATGGGCATGAAATCATTCACGGAGGCCTCCTTGAAACTCCTCTTTGGAAAGTACAACCAAGTCATTGTGGAGAACAGGGTGAGGTGAAGGGCCCTTTGCTTATTCGCCCAGACACAGGAAGTGGAGCTCTGGGGCCCTGGAGCTCTCCTTGGCCTTTGACAGAGGAGACCCCTGAGATTCAGAGTCCAGAGACTTAGTCAGTGGAGGGCAAAGCCAGGATCAGAACTTGGAGCCCCTGTTCTCTGCACCAGCCTACACTGTGGATGTACAAGCTCTTTCAAGAAAGGAACAGTCTGGAAGCTCTTTCAAGAAAGGAATAATCTGAATCTGAGGCAGTACTAACATCATTATTACTCTTTTTTTATTTTTATTTTTATATTTAAAGATTTTATTTATTTATTCATAGAGACACAGAGAAAGAGAGAGAGGCAGAGACACAGGCAGAGGGAGAAGCAGGCTCCATGCAGACAGCCCAACGTGGGACTCAATCCAGGGTCTCCAGCATCACCCACTGGGCTGCAGGCGGGGCTAAACCGCCTTGGGCCGAAGGCAGACGTTAAGCCACTGAGCCACCCAGGGATCCCTATGATTACTCTTAAAGAATTATGTCTGCTTATTTTCTGCTGGCAGGTAGGGGGCGTGCACACTGTTGGTGACAATGGTGCCTTCCAACTTGGGGCCCAGTTCCTCAAAATCTGGCATAAAGATTCTCGAATAGTTTACATCATTTCTTCTAAAAAAGGTGAGTATTATGCAAAATGAGGGTGACAGAAGACCCCTCTCTCCTGTTCCTGATTTCCACCCCATTCACAATCTTCACGTTGCCTTTCTCACTCTCTGTCATGAGCAAGATGGTGGACAAGCCAAGCATGCTCATCCCTTTCCTGTTATTGCCTCACCTTCAGCCAGTGACCGTCAGACCCATTCTCTTACATGTCTGCCTCCATTTCCTCTGTACCAGCTGAAGGGGGGCTGTGTTCCTACAGAATCACATGGACTCGTCTTCCAGGACATGGGCTTTACAGTTTGTGAATACTCCTTGTGGGATTCCAAGCAGCTGTGCATGGACCCCAATGTGCTTCTCGATGTGGCGGAGGTAGGGGGCCCTGCTCAGAACCTTCTCCCCAGACCTGATTACGATTTTATTTTCCTTTCGTCCCCTCCTCCCTTGTTGTCATGGAAGGCCTTTACTAGGCTTGGATTTGCCTGGCCCTTTAGTAGGAACCAACATGGAGGATTGCTTCTCCATGTGTCCTAGTGCCACTCCCACCTGGTAGGGGAAGTGCCTGATGAGACAGTGTCTACCTGCAGCAGGCCCCGCATGGCTGTATCTTTGTGATTGGGAACATTGGTGACTGCAAGTTGACACAGAGTCAGTGGGCAAGGTTGATAGCCAGCATGAAGGTGAGCCCAACATCTGGCCGACTTTCCTCCTTCTCTCCATCTACCATCTCCTCCACTGACCTCATTCTTTTTCCATTTTTCTTTCTCTACAGAGCAAGCAGATATTCCCATTTTTTGACATTCCTTATCAAGGTTTGTCCACTGGGAACTTGGAGGAAGATACTGGATTCTTACAATACTTTGTGTCTCAGGACTTTGAGTTCTTCTGCAGCCAGTCTCTGTCCAAGATTTTTGGTATCTATGGTATGCTATGGGCAGGAGGGGAAGGGAAGTCCTAGTGCTGAAGTGGTGCCATAGCCAAGGCACAAATGATGTGTTTGACATCTCCCGCCCTCTGGAGAGAGCCAAGGCCTCCAGAGAGAGCACCCATGGAGGCAGAAGGGAAGAGCACTGAGCTACAAGTCAGGTTCTGTGATACTGTCTCAGCTCAGCTCCTAAAACTAGCTACTAAAACTGACTCCAGGGATCCCTGGGTGGCTCAGCGGTTTAGCACCTGCCTTGGGCCCAGGGCGTGATCCTGGAGACCCGGGATAGAGTCCCACATCAGGCTCCCTCCGTGGAGCCTGCTTCTCTCTCTGCCAGAGTCTCTGCCTCTCTCTCTCTCTCTCTCTCTCTCTCTCTGTCTCTTATGAATAAATAAATAAAATCTTTAAAAAAATAAAATAAAACTGACTCCAGTTATTAAATAAAAAATAAAACTGACTCCAGTTATTTTTTTAAAAGATTTTATTTATTTATTTATGAGAGACACAGAGAGAGGCAGAGACACAGGCAGAGGGAGAAGCAGGCTCCTCGCAGGGAGCGCGATGTGGAACTTGAACCTGGAACTCCGGGATCACGCCCTGAGCTGAAGGCAGATGCTCAACCGCCGAGCCACCCAGGTGTCCCTGACTCCAGTTATTTTTAAAAATTTATTTAACTTTTATAGAGGGAGAGAGGGAGGAAAGGCAGAGGGAAAGGGGGAGAGTGAAACTCATGGAGCTTGATTTCATGACCCTGAGATCATGACTTGAGCCAAAAGTAAGAGTTGGGTGCTTAACTGACTGAGCCACCCAGGTGCCTCAAGACTGACTCCAGTTAAATCATTTCCCCTTTGGGCCTCTGTTTCCTCAGCTATAAGATGAGGGGGAGGGCTTAGTGATCTTTGAGACTCTTACTTATAGCTATCTTTTCTGGAAGAAGAGCCTCTGACAACTTCCTGGGGTCTGGATATCTGCCTGGCTGTGCCGGGAGGAGGGCCAGGTAGCCCAACCCTCTCTTCAGCAGGTTGAAGGTAGAGTCATAAGGGAAAGCCCTGGTCATAGAGGAGACTTAGGGGCTGTCTGTCCCAATGCTGCAGATGAAGGAGTGGGGGTCCTGGTCGTGGTGGCACTCAACAACCAGCTCCTGCTATGCGCCCTCTCCCAGCTGATGAATCTCACCCAAGCCCTGTGGCTAAACCCTCCTACTAGAGGTGCTCGCATTATCACCTCCATCCTCTGTAACCCTGCTCTTCAGGGAGAATGGTAAGGGGAAAGGGTGGGAACAGGAAGGGATGGCAGAGTCTCTAGACCTATGTATAGACTTGCTGGTTCACAGAATTCTCCCGACCCAGTTGCCTCTTTGACTCCATTCATTCATCAACATTTGCTGAGGACTCATTGTATACCAATAGCAGGGGCTATGTCAAAGATTGCTTTACTTTGGGGGAGTGGGTGATAGGACATTCTTTGGGATATAGTCCAATGAATTATTTGAACCCTTTCAGATTGCAGGAGGTTAGGCAGCATCAAGGACTTGCTATTCTGCAAAATTTGCCTACAAGCCTACTTGGCTTGCTTAAATTAATATGAACTGAAACTCTCCTCCCATTTTTAACCAACCAACCCCGGGCCCTGGGCTCCATTAGCGTGCCCTCAGGCACTGTGGTTGGGGCTTCTGAAGGCAAGAAGAGTGGAATGGAAATGAGGAGGTTGAGAGCAGGGGAAAGCTCTTACTTTAATTTCTTGCTCTCTTTCCTTTGGCAGGAAGCAGAGTCTGAAGGAGCTTGTAGAGAACATCATGCTGATCAAGGAAAAGGTGAAGGAGAAGCTCCGGCTCCTGGGAACCCCTGGCTCTTGGGATCACATAACAGACCAGAACGGGCCCCAGAGCTATCTTGGACTCAACTGTAAGTGTCTAGGAGGATATAGCTTCCCCTTTCTGACCATGGAATTGTATTTGATTATTAAACTTCACTGACCAGGTGACCAGTCCCCAGCATTGCCTCAGAGTTTGATTCTTTCCTGAGAGAAGTAGAGCTGTATTAAAGACCCTTCTGGATCCCCAGAAATGCTGACACTTCCTATCCCCTGTAATACACCCTGACTAGAGGGGAGTTAGTATCTCAGACCCTGTGATTATCACCAGCCCAAAAGGTGGAATACCTGGTCAAGAAAAAGCATATCTACATCCCTAAGAATGGTCGGATCAACTTCACCTGTATCAATGCCTGGAACATAGATTATATCACTCAGAGCATCAACGAGGCTGTCCTCTCCCCCGAGGGCTCAGAGTAATGTCTTCAGAAAATCAATGACTCCTAGTTTGAATAAAAAGCTTTGGTCTTTGCAAAAATTCTGTACTGATATTCATTGCTACAATTTATTTCTCTGTATAGTGCTCTCTCTTTCCACCTGTTGATGAAGCATTGGTCTGGACTCAGCAAATAGAGGTTAAAAAGGCCCAGAGAAGAAGGGAATGTCTATCTTCAATGACCATCTCATATTTATTGAACACCTACTATATTAAGGCCCTGATCTGATGCCTTAGTTTGTTTAGGCTGTTCTCCAAAAATACCAACAAATTCAGTGTCTGGTGAAGGTCCACTTCCTGGTTCATAAACAGCATCTTCTAGCTGTAACATCACATGGTGGAAAAGCTCTCCCTAGAGCTTCCTTTATAAAGGCACTAATCCCATTCCTCAGGGCTCTGCCTCTATGACCTAACTACATCCAAACCATCTCATTGGAGATTAGGTGTCAACATATGAATTTTGAAGGGGCACTAACATTCAGATCATAGCATCTGGGCATCAAAGGGAAGGCAAAAAAATTAGGTATGATCCAGTCCTTTTTCTCCAGAAGCTTATAGTCTAGTTGGGAGACGAGCCTTAGTCCTGTTGACTGTTGAAATGTTAAGTAACATTTCAAAGTTGAATGTAATAAAAAGTCACATAGATTATATGGACAGCAAATATGTCAAGAGTTTAGAGAAGAAAAACCTTAATGTGGCCCAGAACTGTTGGGGAAGATCTCACAAGGAACTACAAATTGGTTTGGAAATTGATGGATTTCTAGGAGTAGTGATACTAGGTAGAAGGGAGCTAGAAGGATATGCCAGGCAGAGAGCAACCAGAGCAATGGTCACTGGCATAATCATAAAATATAATTTTTAAAAGATTTTTATTTATTTATTCGAGAGAGAGAGAGAGAGAGAGGCAGAGACACATGCAGAGGGAGAAGCAGGCTCCATGCAGGGAGCCTGATGTGGGACTCGATCCTGGGACTCCAGCATCACGCCCTGGGCCAAAGGCAGACGCTAAACCGCTGAGCCACCCAGGGATCCCAAAATATAATTATTTATTGGGTGTCTGCTAATGTATGGAACTCTGCAAGCTCCCAAGATACTAAAAGGTATGACAGTTGCTTCTCTTATGGTGACCTCCACCCTAGCTGGGGAGATACAACTTACATGGTAAAAATGTAGTTAAGAATAAAAGATGGCATGTAATATGTGCTAGATGAGTGTCCATAAATGGTTAACTCAGCAAGACTTGCTTGCTCAAACTCTGTCTCAAAGGTCTTTGGGATTGGCCCTTGACTGGCTCTTGGGAAATGAACTCTGAGCTTGGAGTATCCTGCTTAATCAAAGTGGCTTTGTATGCCCAAGATCTTGAGACATGTTTGAGCTCTGGGGGCTGGAGGTTGAGTGATTAAGCTCAGTTACATGGGCACTGCACACCTATGTGACTAACCATCAATAAAACTTTGAATACCAAAGTTTCGATATCCCTGATTGGCAACACTTTATACATATTTTTACCCATTGGTATTGAATTGAGCTCTGTCTGTGCAAGTTCAATGGGAGAGGACACCTGGAAGCTTGGCTTGATTTCTCCTGGGCTCCATCCGAGGTGATTTTTTTCCTTTGCTCATTTTAGTCTGCATCCTTTCACTGTAATAAACTGTAACATCGGGTACAGCAGCTTTTCTGGGTCTTGCGAATCCTTCTAATAAATCAGAGGCTTGGAGACTCCTGACACATTAACTTAGATGCAGAACTGGATATAGCACAAGGATTTGGGCAAATGCAATGCAAGTTTCTTTGTGTTCTGTGAAGACTGTTCTTACAGGACTTACAGGCAAGTGATCAGCCTTGTGGGATCGGGCTTTAGATCTCAAAGCCTGTTTGCCAAGACTACTGGGTTCCTGCCTGGAATATAAATAGTACCTTTCCCATAGATTGTAATTCTTTAGATAGGAGGTGGAGCCTCTGCCTACAGGTCTCATAAGTGAAGAGGATTACAAGCAAATTAATGGAGCAGGTGGGTCAGATCCTGTTTTTTTGTTTGTTTGTTTGTTTTTTGTTTTGTAGTGACTAGAGAAGATTTTTAATATATTTAAGTGGTAATTTATTCACATGTATATATTTGTTTCAGGATTTCTTTTCCTTTAGTGCTGCAGGTCTTGGTCATGCTGTTTGGAAGAAGGAATAGATAGACTGGATAAAGAATGAGCAATAGTACAAAGTTCCTGAAGAGGGAGGGGACCCAAGAGGATTGCCACTGGAGTTTCTAAGTCTAGAGGTTTTTATGAACTCTTCTGGAGTACTATCTTAAACAACCGGGGTGTACTAAGGCATGTAAATCAGGGCTTTGATCACACATTTGTCTACCTATCTGTAGATGGATTTATCTTGAGTCCCTGTGTTTCCCCACAGATGCAAAGTCTTCTCTTAGGTCTTCTGAAGACTCCTTTTGTCCTTAGCTTCTAGGAGCGTCTAGCCTAAATGTCAGAAGAACTCTAGAGGAACCCTCAGTGCCTATGGGTGACATGTTTTAACTATTTTCAAAGGTGCGTTAGCATAAAGATAACATTTATTCAACCAGGTTCTCCCAAACTTCTGAGCCTAAGAAAATGATACTGGTGACTTTTAGGTTATATAGTTTCGACAGCATTGAGCTAACAGAGCAAAACTACTGCCTGTGACCTTTTCTACTAGTGGCTTACATGAGATACAAGGGCTTCTAAGGCCCTCAGCCCAGGATTCTGGCAGGATTTGAGGGAGAGAATGGTTTTCCTCTCACATTTTGTTCCTAGTTAACTTCAGGACCCCATTTTAAAATTTCTTACTCAATATACGCTTAAGCCTTCCTTTTTTATATATATTTTATTTAAATTCAATTTGCCAACATAAAACACCCAGTGCTCATCTTATCATGTGCTTCTTTCGTGCGTTTAAGTCTTCCTTGAAACTAATTTCTGTCTTGATCACCTCTTAAGTTAGTTTCAGATGCCTGATTACTACCCTTTGTTTAACGTAGTAATGAATTGAAACTTTTTATTATATTTTCAAATACAGTAGGAAAAACTATATAATGAACCCCCTTGCACCCATTATCCAGCTTCAATGATCAAATCACAGCCAATCTTGTTTCTTCTATATCTCCATGTGCACTTCCAAATTATTTTGAAACAAACCATTAATCCACTTTCATTTTTAAATTTAGTATGTACTCCTAGAAGACAAGGGCTCCCCTTTTTAAAATACCCATAATAGAATCGAACAAAGGGTGGTGAAAAGGGAGGTGGGCGGGGCGGTGGGGGTGACTGGGTGATGGGCACTGAGGGGGGACTTGATGGGATGAGCACTGGGTGTTATGCTATATGTTGTCAAATTGAACTCCAATTAAAAAATATGTAAAATAAAGAAAAATAAAATACCCATAATACTAACATCACACACCTCCAAGTCAATAATTATTTCATATTGTCCTACATTTGGTATTATTAAAAATAGTTGCTTTTTTTTTAAGGGAGGGAGAGGTGAGGGAAGGGCAGAGGGAGAGAAGGAACCTTAAGCAGACACCACGCTCAGCTCAGAGCCCCATGTGGGGCTCTATCCTACCACCCTGAGATCATGACCTGAGCTGAAATCAAGAGTAAGACACTCAACTGATCAAGCCTCCCAGGTGCCCCAAAATAGTGTTTTATAGTTAATCATATATTGTAGTTGATTATTTTGGATTTTATTTTTTTGGTGAGCATTCCTTGACATTCCTCCCATTGAAAAGCAGAGCTTGATTTTCCTTGCCTTGGGAGAATTTCTAACAAAGAGAGTTCAGCAGAAATGATGCTTTGTGACGTCTGTGGCTGTCATGGATGGTGGTTCAGCTTTTACTAGCTTGCTGTCAGCCTTTGTCTCTCTCAATCTCTCTCTCTCTCTTGAACTCTAGTTCTCTTGACTCTTGCTTTCGGAATCAAAGCCACCAAATTGTAGACAATCCAAGCAGGCTCGCAGAGAGTCGTTTGTGGGTATGCCTGGCCCTAGCGGAGGTCCCACTGACAGCCAGTATCAACCTCTAGACATGTGGTGATTCCAGCCTCCAACCTTCAAGCCATCCCACTGACTGAGCGAAGCAGAGATAAACTGTCCTGCTAGTTCCTTCCCTAATTCCCAATTTATAAGCAAATGAAATGTAGTTATTGTTAAGACACTATGTTTTGGAGTGATTTATTACACAAGTATATAGATATGTGGAAAAATTATTTTGTCTTTTAGGTCTGTATAGTTTCTTTTCCATTTTTTTTTAATCTCAAATTTTTTTAAAATTGAAGAGTTGGGTCTTTTGTCCTGTAGGGTTTCTAGACTGAGTTTTGCTGATTCCACCCCCATACTATTATTTAACTGTTCCTCTACCTCCCTGTATTTCTTGAAAATAAGAATTTAAGATTAGAGGCTTGATCAGATTCAGGTTTATTGTTATTATTCCTTGTCTCTGTAAGATCACATCATAGATGGTGGTGGTGTGTTTCATCAGGAAGCACATGATACTAGTTGTTTTTCTGAGATGTTAGCAGTTATTGATTATGCCTAGCTCCATTCATCCATTAGTATTGCAGAATGGTGATGTCCTAAGACTAACATTATTTATTCATTTTTAGCTAGAATACTTTTATGAATAGGAATTTCCTCTCACCATGGTTCGATGAATGTGATCTGCATTTTACATAGGAAAGACAGAATTGGGGCACCTGGGTGACTTGGTTGGTTAAGTGTTTGCCTTCGGCTCAGATCATGATCTCGGGGTCCTGAGACTGAGCCCCACATTGGGCTCCCTGCTCAGTGGGGAGCCTGCTTCTCCCTCTTCCTCTGCTGCTCCCCCTGCTTGTGCTTTATCATTCTCTGTGTCAAATAAATAAATAAAATCTTTTTAAAAAATAAAAAAGGAAAGGCAGAATTAATACTTGATTGTCCTACCATTTACCAGATTTATTTATTTATTTATTTATTTATT